CACTTCCACACTAATGTGACCCAAAACGGGGAAGCCGCAAGCATCAGCTGCCACTCTCAATGCTCCGATCCCATCGAACAGACCGATCGTTAGGACTGAGCACACGTCAGACGGCTCTGCAATGTCACCTCGAACAGTAGCTCGTGATGCCGCTTCCCCAAAACCTGTCAGACCAACGCTTCGAGTCAATCCTCCACCAGTGGTAGAAGCATCACTGGCTGTAACCTCCGAGCTCACCTCTAACCTGAAGTCCATTTGCGCCAGAGGAACTAAAGCAACAAACCGTGCGATCTCCAGCCTCACACCTCCGAAGGTATCTCTAGCTTGATCACCGGCGGGTAGTGCTTGAACTCCTCGATGAATCGCCACACTGCATTCAAAGACCCTAGAAGGGGCCTTCTGAACATGCTCATGTATACCAAGCCTCCAGCAACTACCTGGATCTGCTTCTGACTGCACCTCTTCTCCCCTAACAGGAGACTGCCAAGCTGGGCGTACTTGAGCACCTTGATAGGTTTGGGATAGGCGATTCCCCTCACTCCATCAATGATGGCACCTTGCACTTCGGCCTTCAACGATCGCGCAACTCCTTTCTTTGGATGGCGAGGAACTCCCCATCTTTCATACTCCGACCGGAGCGCCAGAATACTGGCACTTGGCTCCCCCCTTAGGAGCTCGGCGGTGCGCTTGTCCATCTTCTCCAGCGAGTCGAAGTTATCTAAATATACCCTATGCAACGTGGTAGCAGACGAGACAGGTCGATCCTTTCGCACCTCTTGTTCTGGCTTGAGCCCCCCCCCGATTTGTTCCCCAGCTCGTCTCACCATGGCCCTGTGGACATGTTGGGCCAAGCTCACGCTGTTCTTAAAGCCCATCGGTAGCACTTGTGAAGCTAAGTAGTAGGGGCCATCGTCATCCGGCCACATCTCACGTGGGATGGGTTTGTTGAAACCAAGGAAGCTTGACCACTCACGAGGCACCTGGAAAATATAAAAGAAACAGCGCACATCCTCAGAGGATATCACCAAATCTTCACAGGGCATCAATTGCAGGGGGCTCATAGTAGCCCAAGTAGGGAGAGTGGCTACGTCGCCTTCGATGCCACGGCATACCAAGTTGGCTGGCCGAAGGTCCATGATCAGACGGTGAATCGGGTGACCTTCATGCTCCTCCCCTTTCGCAACTCCAAATAGTCCGTTTAGGAGGGGGCGTCCGTCAACATGATGGAGGTCCTTCTCTTTCAATGGGATACAAACTCCCTTCCCCAACAAACCCTCACAGACTCGCGGCCACGCCTCATCACTGATCATGATTCGCGGCGGCTTCATGGGCTTTTGCAACTCCTCAGGCAGAACGTATGAGGTGAAGTTCAACACGTAATGACGACACCCAAGATCCACCACTTCAGCCAAGGGGACCGAAGCGATCTCCGAGGGCATTGCTGGTGCGAGGTTTTCCCAGGTGGTATACTGCGCGCAAAGAACCTCCTCCCCACAGTAGTCGATGGTCTTTACCTGAAGAAAATCATGCCATGTAGTCTCCTCAAACCTTTCTTCCCACTCCAAAACTGCCCTCGTCTGACCTTCCAAGAACCTCAGGACACCGACCTGCAGTGGGATCGGGGGAAACTTGTTCTCCAGTTCAACCCCGTACAGACTATTCAAAGACATGCACATGCCCCTCATCACCATAGAGGCTTCTTGAGAGATCTGCAACACCTCCCTGAGCACCCCCATCTCAGTGGGTAACGGAAATACGTCACCCGTGGGCTGGGTCGTGCACGGCAAAGGCAAATCAATCCTGGAGCTTGCTTGAACTAAGATGGAGGAAACCCAAGGAAAAACATGATACAACTCCTCACCCCCTCTCGGCGGCCTCATGCACACTTTTTGCAAGGTTGGGACATGCTCTAAGGCGTCAACACTTGCGTCCTCGGCCAGGGCAACCCCCTTTAAATGGCGCCTCTTGGCCTCTGTACCCAGGGTGGTCGAAGCTGTCGAAGATCCAACCACACTGCCACTGGAAAAAGCGGTTCGACTCTCCTCAAATGGTCGATCCTTGTCATACGGCGAACTCTCTGCAGGATCATCATGCTGCCTCATGTCTCCTGCTTCTTCTGTTCCTTCTCTTTGCCTTTTTTGCCCTTTCCTTTGCCCTCTTTGCGCTTTCCCTTCTCCTGGTGCCATGGCGCGTCGCGCCAGCTGCTTGGCCAATCTCCTTTGCTCTTCCCCTTGCTTGCCTCCGCTCGAGTGCGGTTCTCTTCTTTGGACTCCTTGATAGCCTCCCGGGCTTCCGTCCTGCTTGAAATGATGGGCTTTTCCAAGGGGACTAACTCGATCTTCTGTGACACTGACCAGCTGGCGCCCTGCGAAGTCATCTCTATGGCCTTCAGCCGTTGCATTAGGCCATCTGCAGCCTCTGCTATCCGAGCTTGCATCAACAGATCCAGGCACCAGCTCAAGGTCAATGCTTCGCGAGACTGACCGCCTGTCAAGCGGGTGCTCAGGACCTGCCTGAAATACTGGCAACAGATGGGCTGAAGAGCCATCGCTCTTGCCGAACTCTTCTTTTTCTCCCCTTCTTTGGGAGACTTGTCCTCTCCTGAGGATCTCCCCTTCTTCCGCTTCTTTTTCTTCTTGTCTTTCTCCTTGCTCCTCCCTCTCTCTGCTCCTCGCTTCTCCTCTCTTTCTACGGCCTCCACGACCTCTGCTTCTTTGGCCGGGGCTTCTTCGACCAGATTCATGGCCCATGCCGGATCTTCTCCTTTCCGAACCTTGATCTCTTCTCCGTGCAAGAGGTTCTCGGCATCCAACATTGCCTCGCAGCGAGCCCCGCACATGTGAACTCTCATCACCTTGTGGCTTGCGCCTGAAGCCCACCGCAAGATGGGTTCGGTCGTAGTACCCTGCAGCTCCACTTCGACCTCTATGTCTTCTCTCCCCCGGACTTGAACGCTCCTCACAAGTCCTGAGATCTCGGCCCCACTGCCCCAATAGCGCCCCTTGATCTCCACCGGGAGCTTCTTTCGGAGCGTCTCCAAGGGGACGGCCTGACATGGTGTAGGCTGCCCTTCCTCAAAGAGTCGTCCTTCTTCGGCACGGCGACCCCTCTCTTCTCCTGCGCCCCCTGGCTCTGCACCAGCAGGACGTCTGTGCACCCTTCCTCCCCTTCCTCTAGGAGGTTCCTCCACTTCTTCTCTACCTCGACGAACCCTTGCCGCCGGTCTCCTCAAGGCCATTGAAGCCCTGACGGGATGCCCCACTACCGTCTGTAGTAGTACTGGGCCTCCTTCTTCTTCACTCCTTTGTTGACTCCCCAATACTGGGGTTCACGCTGCCACGGCTTGATAGGTCCACTCCAAGCTCTGCCTTCGGGTCGAGCAACTCGATCTGGTGGTCCTCCTCTTCGCTCCACTGGAGGTTGCTTAGGAGGCGGGCCTCCCCTGTCTCCAGGCGGAGATATGGATGGTGTTCTTGGTGGCCTGACGGATGGCTTTGCCTTTTTCTCCTTCCCTTTCTCGGCCTGCTCCTTCTTCTTGTCTTTGTCCTCCTTTGTGAGCCTTGACCTTCTCGATGAGCTTCTCCTCCTTCTGCGATGTGATCTTCTGCTCCTCGACTTGTCTCGCTTCCTTGCGCTCCTGCTCCTTCTCCTGGGAGTCTTGTCCTCTTTGAGCTGCTTTGATCCACTCGAGCACTTACCTTCCTCTACAGGCGAACCTACTTCCTCCACACCGGGAGTTTCTTTAGGGCTGTTGGGCTTGTCTCCTTCCTTTTTTGGGGCTATCCAACTCTTGTCCGGCCGATCTGCCTCTTGCTCTTTACTCCCCTTTGTGCGGACCACAGGACTCGCGGACTTGGAAGCCGCTGTAGCAGTCGCTGCCGCTCGTGCTTTCTCCGCCTCTTCAAACCTGTCAAGTTCCTCCTGAACAATTCCGGTCCAGATGCGGATGTTGCTGATGCCCCAGCCGCGAAGTCCCAACGGCAGCGAGTCAACTGTAGTCCACCACCGAGTACGCACTCGACAGAAAGTGCAAACCTGATCAGGTTCTCCGCACCGTATCCCGCACTGCGTGCACGGGTACATCCACGGCTGAGAGCCCAAACCCTTCGGGAGAGAAAGGAATCCACCTAGTTCGTCTTAAAACCCGGGGTCGTAAGTTCATATTATACATGTACACCTACTATTAAAATCCTTAAAGTTGTAATTTAATATAAGAAAGCGAGAGAGAGAGAGAGAGAGAGAGCTCTTCGGAGCCCATGTCATGGCGTTTCATCTACTTGTCTACATAATACACCTTTCAGGGCCTGCTTGCTAAGAACACCCAAATTCCCACGCATGTTTCATCCCCTCAAGTTGAGGGGAAGCTGAGCAAAGTGGAGGAACGAAAAGCATCAACTGCTAGTAGCTGCTGCTGCTGCTAGCCCTCTCGATTGTCACACGTCCAGTTCGTCCACCTATTTTCCAGGCAAATGCACAGATTTCTGCATCTGCCCAGCTGCTTCGGCGATCCTACATGGAGCATCACAATCGCACAGGGTTGCACTTGCCTACGACGTAAAGTTGTGCGTACAGTAACTAAGCGGTGTGCGTTGGAAACAGCCAGTGAAAATGGAGCAGCGTCCGCGTGCAGACTTGGAAGTTTGCGACTCGCTTGGTTGACCCAGCGAAGTTCTGCTCCGACATATGATTTTTGAAAAAGCACACAGGGTGACATGGTCTTTCTGAAGGCAGGCTTTGGAAGCCACACAAGCAGCCCTTGAAAAGAGGCTCGTCTTGTCATAGACATGGAAGGTGTGACAGTGATGTGATTGTTCGGGGTGAAATTCCTGCTCAAAACTGAAGCGACTTCGCTCTTCATTCATTTTCATGTCGATTCGTTTCATTCTGATTCGGCTCTTCACCAGATGTGTCTTGATCATGTCTTCGCTACGGCACGTGACGTCATCAGTATTTACTGGTGTTCAGTGTGTTTTTGTTAGTTGGGTTTGAGTAGTTGAGTTTGCTACGGCTGCTGCGCTGCAATGTCTATTGGGTAGTCTGTGGGCGCCCGGACCTGCTTCTTGACAACCAAAGCACTCTCACTTGGTGGAGTCTGCAGCTGGGCTGGGTGTCAAGAACCTCCCACTCCTGCACACGAAGCTGCAACAGAAAGAAGAACAACATAGAAAAAACACATAGAAATCGACAGCTGGCGACCACTGGCGCTCTGCTTTGCCTGCTTCGCAGGGACCCGCATTGACTGAAAACAACCTTTCTTGCCGGCTGTGTCTCAGTGACCTTTCAAACTAAGATGTACCGGTTAGATTCTCAACGTATCAACATGTCAGGCCCATGAGGGAAAGCCTTTGTTGTGTAATTGTGTACAAATTGACAAGCATCGTGGAAGCTGTGGAAGCTACGTCACTCTTGCCACAATGGTCGATCGTTGGGCTCGTTTTCAGGCCCGCTTTGGCCTTATGAACATCAGTGGTATCAGACTGACAAACTGCCGACTTTGTCTCAGTGGATCTTGTATTTCTTGCTCAAATGGTTTCGAAGCAACCGCTCCCTAGAAGTTGCTCCCAGGTTGCAAAAAAAGACATCATATCATATCAGTCAAAACAAGATTGACCCCACCTAAGGACGCTACGTTCGGGGCTCCTGGCATCGCTACTACTAGCATTCTAGCTACTATATCCAGAGGGACAAAAGTTGGACCTAACCCGAGCCCAGCGGAGCGGTGGAGCCTGATGTCGCTGCCTGGATGCTTGCTAGGGCGGCCTTACGCTCTGCATCTCGTGGATCCTGGTGAACGATTCGGGTGCTTTCAAGCGAGGTTTGTTGCCATTGATGGTAGAAACATCGTGCCATGGAAACTTCTGGATCATCTGGTGGTGTTTGAATATTTTCGGGACCCTCAAGAAAGAACCCCAGAATTGACGCGTCCTGGCACTGCGCGCGAACTTTCTCTTCCCACTCAGCCTCATGAGATTGGCTTTTCCAAGTTGGAAGAAACAGGCCATGAATCAGAATCATCGAAGATCCTCAAAGCATTTCGGGTTTTCTGCCATGGCGGCTCTGGGTCTGAGCCGCCGATTTGGATATCACTGGTGCATCTACTGGTGCTTCGTGGTGAGTTTGGCCAGCATAAAGCATCTCATTCTGACTTTGTCACACACTTCCTACAAAGCTGCCGGGCCTAGAAGCTCCAAAAAAGAGCGCATCCCATTTGGCACGCGCATGAAGAACGGTCACCATCTCTCTCTCCCTCGTTTTCTCTCGATCCGCCTTCATCGTCAACCATTGTGGATGCGACTTCCGCTTGGACGTCAGTGTTGCCAGGCCCGAGGCGAAGAGCTGTGTGTCCGGCGGACCCAGCTGAGACTTCCTGCGACGTTTCAACATCCGACGCGAGAGGGATGCGCGATTCAACAGCAGCAGGATGCGCGCTAGAGCGGAGATTCTTTCACCAGATCATCATTCTGGAAACTATACCTGGACCATTAGGTCTGGGTCTTGGAGATCCCAAAGTACTGGAGGGTAGTCCATTGGGTGACCCATTGGATGGTCTTGGTCGTCTAAATGTTCTTATCAAGCAGAAGCCGCCAGCATGGTTCGCCCATGGTTCCCTTGAGTCCCATCATTTCCCGAAACAAAGCTTCGTTCAACACCGAACGGAACGACGGTGCCAAGTGTCTTTCCAGCATTCTCCCTCCAAGCCTCACGTGTCACGGGCCTACGGGATCCTACGGGATCCCTACGGGTCACAGGCCTTTCGTGGGGGTGGCAAGTCGATTGGTTTAACAAGAGATCACAAAGGCCGATTCTACACAGGGATAGAACATGTGGCGCCACGGATTCTTTTGACCCTCATCTGTCCCGCAAAAAAAAACATGAAAACACACACAATATATTAGACATTATTAAACCAATGGCCAGGCCATTCCAGGCCCACCACACGTTTACTTCGAATTGAAAAGGACTGAGACCTGTCGATGACGAGACGAGTTCCTCCGTGAGTGTCGGACGGAGCATCAGAGCATCGGAAACGAAGCGGTTGGTCGGTCGAACGACAAGTCGGTCGGTAAGACACTGGGGAGACACAAAGTACTCTGAGTCTCTAGGAGAAGCTCTGAATTCCACATCAGTGGCTGAATTGGTATTTGGGGAAGAAGCTTTTGGGTCTTGTGTTGCATCATCAACTCTACGGTTGTACAGAAAAAAGATGAAAAAAAGCTTGTTTGCTATCCGTATTAACCCACAGAGTATGACGTAGGAAAGTCTGAGTGCTACTCAGCACAGGATCTCTGAAAAGTTCTGAACATCAAAGACTTCAAGCGCCGTCTTGGCCACGTCTGAGGGCATCGGCTTCCAGCGGGATGGGGAGGCTGCTTTGACTTTTGACATCAACTCATCGACTATATAACTATATATATTAAAGCAATATATAGTGACATTCCATAATTACAGGTCTAGTTTCTAGCAAACTTGCAGAACACAAGCAGTTCGTTGCTTTGCTTATCAGCATTGACTAGCTACGTAATCCACACAAGGAAGGTTAAACAAATGCCCTTTGGAGGAGCTGGCATGCGCTGGCATGCCATGGTGACTGCAATGGACGCAACATTTGATTCACTTCGAAGCCCTGAAGTCGTTTCAGACCTGTTCAACCTGGCGGGAGACGCATGACCTGTTGATACCTGAGACGCATGTGTTCCTCAACAATCAACAATTGGACCGTTGATCCGGACTCAGATGGACGAAAGCACGAACACCGAAACCGCAGCTCTGAGGAGATTCTGAGGCCATACGGTCGACGGGGATCGGCGTGACGGGGGAGCTTCTCACGGGAGGAGTCGACTAGGTCCTTCCGAGATCTGAGGGAAGCTAAGAAATCCAAATCTGTTGTTTGTTTTTTGTAAGCTTAAACAAGTTCTTATAAGTTCAAACCATTAAATAATAAGTTGTTACCATTTCACAAGTTTAAAACATTTTACACTTCTTAATATAGATCTTGTCCATCCTTTCGCTACCCCATTTTCTATATATCTGTTCTTGATTCATTGGGTCTGGTCTGCATCATATTCTGCCAATGCTCACACGGCCCCAAAGTTCGAGTGTGATTCTTGCACCGCTTCAAGCAGAAGATTTATCCGCTCTTTTAATACTACCGCCTCTTGATGAGTGTGTTGCACTGAGTCTGCCCAGCTGATGGTCCACACCGGCGCCGTCCCTGAGGCCCCTGACTGTATTCAATTCACGGCTGGAGGCTTCTCGAACCCACCCACTGGTGCCAGGGCTCCTGATTCGTCTCGTCGGGGTCCAGAGACCATCCAAAGACCATGCTACTGCGTTCGAGCCCAATTTGGGCCTGCAAAAAAGAGGCCTTTGCTTCAGCCCAAATAGAATCTCAGCCTTCTAGCTGTTGAATGAAGGGACACCTTTTACCTTCTGACCAAGCTTGTGACTCATGCATGTTGGGACCTCACAATTGCAAATTGGAAACTCTATGACATACTACTACAAGCAGTACTATAAGCACGACATCCCAGCACAACTGCAAGCGTGCACTCCCCCAACTCTGCCAGTCACGGTTTCCCCAAGCGTCCCTTCGTTCTCGGACTCTGAGGTGTCCGTGTCAGTGGCCTGGGACCGAAGCTTCGCCGTTAGCTCCGAGGGTGTGGGGAGCGTGCGGAGACGGGGCGATTCTTGAGGTAGAGAGAAGGATCAGGCCGAGGATCAGGCGATTCTTGATGCATGTTGTATGGTTTTGTGTTTCAAGGTGAAGAAGAGTGAGATCTTCATACTTCCTTCATCCTTCCTCATTGCTCCGTCTGCCGGATGTCTGTCGGTTCACAGCGCAACGGGTGAACGGACAGGCCTCTGCCTTGCAGCTGCATCGACGTGCTCCGGCAAAGGAAGCATCGCCTGAAAATGAACTGGGAGCACAAATGATGGGATGATGCAGGATTCCAAGTACAGCTTCAGTACAAAACGATGAAGCAAGAGGTCCACAAGATGAAGTCTTGGGTGTGTAAACATGTTGTTATGCCGTTATGCCAGCTGTGCCTGTATGAATCTGAAGGCTATATAAATGGAGGGTGATCTGAGGCGGGTATGGTGGAAGCCTTGCAAGGTTCCCAATCAATATAAGTTGTTGAGCAAGAGCGCAGACTGTATTTCCGGAAGAAAACGTGGAAGTTCCACTGTGTTGTACTTCTGCGTTAGGTCACTTCTTTCCGTAACGATACGACCTTTTGACAAAATGATACCACTTAACCGTACCAAGCAGGCACTTAACACTATGAACATGAGCCCCTAGTAGCGTCCTTGATCCTAGTAGTAAGGCCAGGAGCCCCTAGTAGCGTCCTTGCTACTAGTAGCGATGCCCTTTGCTCCGTTCGTAGCGTCTTGTTCCCTATGAATATTCTTCAAAAATGGCTCAGCCCCTAGCGCCAGCGTCTGCCCGTAGAATCGATGGGCTCAATGAGGCTTTTGTCTGCCGGGCTGCTCCCCGCATCCTGACCATAGTCAATGAAGGACATGGATGAAGATCAAAACACCGGAATAGGTTGGAGTCCGGAGGCCATTGCTATTACTGTATATAAAGGCTGGTGTGCCTGTCGCAACAGGCTTTGTGCATGAAGATAGGAAGACTTCAACAAACATTCTGATGACGTGCAGCTCTTGGGTGGGCACTGGGAACAGCCAAGAAGTCAGCAGACAAAACATGTAACAGCTTCACAAAATGTTTGGTAGTGCTTTGCACGCTCAAGCAAGTATAGTAGTTTACACATGTTTACGCTGTATCGTATGAGCATTTGGTCTTTTGATTTGGTTCTATAGTCTTCGTACCCTCTTGTATGCCTATCCATCCCATCTGACCAAGTCCAACGCCCTCTTTCCGGCTTCAGCCAAGTGTCCAGCACGTCAACGCCGGTCTCTGAGCAGCAATAGGACCACATGATCGTTTAGGACAACTACTGCGACAAGTGGGTCAGCAAACCTGCGAACATGTTTCACTGAACAACTCATTAGTGCTTTGCAGGGAGGGGAGGAGCATTTCCTGGTCAAGCTTCGGAAATGGTTACAATCGTCCAATGATGCCACTCATCCTTCAAGCCTGACGTTGCTGCAAATTGAGCCAGGTTGACACACAAATGCCAGTTGCACTTTTAATCCATGCCAAGACTTCTGTACTTCATCGTACTTCAGGGTGCTTAGCAGCTGCTCCACCTCCACGACTTTCCGAACTTTAACAGTGGTGAACAAATCAGACTATTCAGTGTATATCAGTTGAAGGAAACTCATTGTCAGTGCGGTCCACGCATCACTTAGGGTAGCTCAGATATGTTCAGATGACCCAGCCACTCAGACTCCAAGAACATCACCCACCATCACAAGGCATCAAGCCTTGTTCCTGAAGCCTACGCGAACGCCTCGGGCTCGGACGTATTCAAGCGTCCGGCGTCGAGCTTCCAGCTTCTCGCACTCACGCAGCTCACGTTGCTCTTCCTGCAAGACGACTGGTTGGTGGAAGCATGTGGAAGCCAACGACGGGGCGCCTGACAATGTTAGACTCTTTGTCGGTGTCCTAGCATGTTCTAGCTCTATTTATTGAGGAACCACATGTTTGGATAAAGTCTTGTGACTGCTAGACAACCTTCCACACTCTCTGTTTTGATTGACATGTCCAGCCTTGATACTGATACGAGTCATACGAGCACGGATTCCATCTTTATTTAGTCCGAACCTGCCGGTGTCTGCCGATGTCCTCACCTCCAAGCTCTGAAGCTTCTGTTCAATGTCTTGAATCAGTCCCTGCGGAACCGGAACCGGACGACCGTTGACCTCCTTTAGAGGCCCTCTTCAGGGGATGTTTGGTGCACCGTTTGGGGGTTCCTCTTTCTGAACCAACCAGGGGGAGCCAACCCATACCATAGATGTTGTCCAATGCTCATATTGGTCCAAGAGGACGTTGAGTTGTACCACTTCCTGACTTGGTCCTCAACATGACGTGAAACTGTCAAGGGCTTGCTTTCTAAGGGAGAGGGGACTCTCTCTCTCCCTCTCCATTATGACCGTGACTTCGTGCACAAGTTCATAAGTTCGATCGTTCAAGTTGAAAGAAACGACACAAGGTGTTCGCAGGCGTGCGTTGCGTCCCAGTGTCCAAAGTAGTTTGCTCATCCCCTGACTCTCTCAGTTGATGTGTAAATTTATGACAGTAGTATAGTTCAATGTGTCTTTAATTGTTGACAGTAGTGCTCAAGGAGCCTCTACTGCATGACGAGACTCCAAGTGAGACGATTTTAGAATTCCACGCACCTTCACGAAGTTCCACCCATCTGACAGGGCTGTAACTTGTACTAACTGCTTCATTCGTTTCAGCTCAGCCGTCTGCACCAACCGCCGGTCCGCGGTCGGCCTCGGTTTGCGTCCGCCTCGCGGCGGTGTCCTGGTGGAGTTCGTCGGAAGACTCGAAGACTCGGTGACGTCCAAGTCGTCCCAACTCCAAGGCGTTTCAGGTCATGAGAATGAAAACTAAAAGCTATATCCATTAACTAAAACCAAATATCTATAATGATGCATTCTGCATGTGTATGCAATAATTAAGTCTCTCATCTAAGTACTAAGTAGTGTAAACTTGTAAACCTGAAGATCCTCAAAGGATTTGAGCCGCAACAGTCCAAAAGGGCGAACAAAAGCCTTTCCAGCACGTCCCGGACAAACGGCACCTCCATGATCTTCACCGACTCCGTGCGGCGCTCATCGTAGAGGCCAGCACCAGAGATATCCTGACATCAATCTCGGAATCAATGATTCATGATCAAATAAAGGATCACCCAATAAATCCCCAACAATCACCTTCATATGCCGGTTCCAATCAAGTAATCTTCTCAAGATCATAGGATCACCCAATGAATCCTCAATATTCCCCAACAATCACCTTCATATCCCGGTTCCAATACAGTAGTCGTCTCAAGACCAAGAGATCCTAGGATCACCCAATAAATCTCGAAAGAATCTTCCCAAGCCTGGCGCGGGAAAGAACGATGAAACCCTAGATCGCTAGCTACTCAAAAACACCAACCGGGGCACCCAACATGCTGGGAGGGCTGATAGGCTGAAATTCACGGATAAAACCCCAGGAAGTGACAGGTTCCGCTTGGAATTGCTGCCTCTGCATATTCTGTGATACAGCAGTAACTTGAAGCCGAATAGAATATTCTTCCACCTCAAGCAAAACCTGCGATTTGCTATGGAAAGGATATATAGTTCAAGTTCAAGCAGCGTGTTTTTGTCTGATTGCTCATTCCACTCCAGTAAAACTATGTTAAGTTATAAGATGTTATAAGTATAAGATATCATAGTATAAGTAATAAGTTGTTTCTTCCCTCTTTCCCAACCAACAATGAAAACAAACTTGCAAAGGGTCCCATTGCTTGTAATGAGTCTTCTTCATTCTCGTCCAATTGCCATCCTTGCTCAGTCAGCCTTGAGAAGGCCCAGGCGTTGGGCATCGGTCATCATGGTGAGCTCACTGACCTGAAATCCAAAAGCAAACGGAGACGTGATTGAACCTAGTAGCGATGGCCTCCAACCTACTAGAGATGGCCTGCAACCTGCTAGCGATGGCCTCCACCCTAGTAGCGACGGCCTCCAAACACCCTAGAGCTGATTGAGCAGCATCACAGACATTCGAAGAGGCAACATAGGTTGAAGTTGATATGATTATGTTTGAAAAATAGTGCTTTGCATTATATAGCTTCTACATGTTCAAGGTTCTTACCTACGCAGTCTCTGCCTTTTTCTTCAACTCTTGCTGCATATCACGGTCATCACATGTCATCACATGTTACTTCGACTGCTGTTCCAACGCGCCTTGCCCTGCTGCACAATGTAGTACGGGCTGGTCTTTGCAAAACCTGCACCTCACTCACACTGACAACGTGACGCTGGCAGCTACCTTGAACGGATGGTTCATATTTCACAATGAAATTGCAGCCTGCTACAAAAAATGGGCTTATCTTTTGCGAATGAGAGCTGATCTGTATCACCCAAATATACAGTACTAAAACTAGAACCACCAAGGCAAGGATACGTTGATCGGCACCCTCACCTTCCAACAACCCAAAGATCTCTGCTTTGGTCGCATGCTTTCCATCCAACAGCCAATCGTCCTGAAGCAGCAAAGCCAGCTTTCTTCAAGCGCAAAAGACCGTTTTGATGGCAAAAGAAACATTATACAATATGTATTTTGGCTTGTCTACCTTGGCGCCATGTCCTTCTTCACCCCAATCAAACGGCGGATGGATAGGGTGTCACTCTCCACAGGAATCCGCCTGAGTCAGGACCAAAAAAACACCAAAAAATTGACAAGGCATCCAAAACTTGTTTTCTCAGGCAGTTCCTTTCATGCTTCTTGTTACTACTAGTAAGGCACCTGTTACTACTAGCGTGGCACTTGTTCCTACCTTTGAACTGACAGATTCTGGTTCTCTTTCACTTCCCGACACACGACACGGATCTGATCCGACACGTCTGAGTCGCAAGCCGATCCGCATTGTCGAGCACGACTTCAACGTAGGCTGTAAGCACCTTGCCCAAACGCGAAACGAGGAAGTAGCACCTTGTTGACGTTCGCCATCTCGTCTCAACGAGACATCTGGACGGCGGGCTCGATCCGCTTGATATTATGGATCGGGAGCATCGTCCATAAGGTTGGTTCACTGAACGCACTGACGTTGCAGTTGGTCCATACTGAGCCCACAACGCCTGTGTCACTGATCCTGACTTCCCTCCTGAGATTCCGACTGCCTGCCCCGCGCCCTCGTGCAAAAGGGCCTGACCATGTGATGAAAAAGAGTGAGGTCTCTAAGACTCTACCCGTCTCCATTTTTTCCATTGGTCTCACGGTTTCTCATGGGTGTCCATTTATCCTGAGGTCTTTCAAAAACAGCTGAACAAGGTGTAACAGGCTGGTTTGGCACTAAATGAAGGAGAGTCCTCTAAATTCATTAGATTGTGGATGCTGGGAAACAGAAGCACCGCTCAAGTGCCAGCCGCTTTCTGAACTTCACCAAAAACTCGATTATCTCGATTGTTCAACTGTAAATATAGATGTGTTTCTTGTGTCCAAGAACCCAAACATCCGAACAAAAGATTCGATGTAGCACTTGGCACTCCGCCGCTCCGCCTTTCGTGTCTCTGCTCGCAGAGAACTGTACCTGATCAGGTGCAATGTTGGACAAAAGCTTCCAAAAGGGAGATACCTTGAAATCAACCAGGCTGGCAAAGAGTAGAATGAAATTGACATCGGCCGGTTGATGGATTGATGACATTTCGATAAGTTCAAAGCACATCAAAACATGCTAGCAGGTAGAAAGGACTCATGACTGTAGCTTCGCAAATAGGCATAGAGTCGCCCAGTGACAAGCTTCCACTCCTCCCAGCTGGTCACTGATCAGACAGCACAAACAGAATGGCTTGGAAGAAATTTGATTTTCCAGAGCCTTGGCAAAATATTTATCTACAGTAGCCGGTTTTAAGTTGCTAGCATACAACAGCACCCCCTGCAAGTGCTTTCAAGAGAGCTGTATGTTATCAACATACTCAGACTTGAACGTATCCACTCGAATTATACTCGCGAGAAACAGGTGACTTGCTCAGCAAAACAATAAATAATGCACTCACACCAATAGCATCAACAAACCAGCCCATATCCTGGCAGTGGGTAGGCTGGCTTCCGATGGCTTCCGCTTGCGTAAGCCAAGTTGAAAAACATGTCAACTCGCCAAGGTGAAGTGTTTGCACTCACCTGAGGACCTCAGCCCAATTCTCTGAGGACCAGGACCATTGAAGCCCACAACCACATTGGTACCAGGAGAGAAATCCTCGTCCAGCGTAGTCTGCTCCTGGAGCAGCAGAGATGTTGATTTGGATGTGGGTGAAAACCGGGGCGTCGACATGCATCGACCATTGAATAGACAAGCTACAGCAGGTC